GCTTCAAGATGCTACTGCGCCCCGCTTCTTTTTATGAAGGCGCGGCCGGCGAGTCAATCACTGCGGCCACAAAATGAATCACAAGAGGCTTCGCAGCTCAAAACAGCTGTGTCGCCTGACCACTAGGGCGGATGTCCTAGCCGCGTCGCCCGCGTGGTTTATTTGCGCACAAAGGAAACCAACGATTATAACTAAACTCAGCGATGGCAAGCCACATCGAGATGCAACCCCCGTCGCGTCCAAACCACACGTCCAAACTTCTATCACGCTTGAAACACCTCCAACGACCGTATCTTGCCATCATGGCCCCATTGTTTTCCGTAAAAAAGACAGACGCACCAACAATTATACGAGACCCAACACATCCGAGCACTCTTGTGCGCTCCGGTCTTTCCAGTTTGAGCTCTTCTGAACCGAGAGGGCCCCAAGCTGGGCCTAGAGGCCTTATGGTCGGCCCAGGGGCGCTCTAAGACGACGAAGATGGCCTCCAGACGGCCCAAGGGGGCCCCCAAGATCCCCCCCAAGAAAACCCCGAGCTTCGGACGCCCAGAACACCGCCGTTTTGGAGCGTCGGGAAGCCGAAAAGCGGAGAACCCCAAAATTCACCAACAATCATCAGCAAATCAATGATTTTTGCCTCTGGGGGCCTTCTTGGGAGTGTTCTTGGAGGCCTCTTCGGGCCGTCCTGGAGGCCTCTTGGGCCATCTTGAGAACACGTCGGTCACTCTTGGAGCGCTCTTGTGTTGTCTTGGGGGTCTCTGGGACGTCTCCGATGACCCCCCTGATCGGCCTGGGTGTGCTGGGAAGGCTTGGCAAACCGCCCTGCGAGGCCCGGGGGCCGCTTGAGGCCCGTCCGGAAGGTCCCAAAACCCCAGATCCCGGGAGTCCGGTTGGGGGGGGGGGGGGGGCCGCCCAGGCTTATACAAATATAAGAAGAGCCATATTTGTTGTTCTCTCTCTCTCTCTTTCTCTTTCTGTCTTTTTTTTTTGTTGTGTTCTCTCTTTCTTTCTCTCTCTCTCTCTCTCTTTCTCTCTCTCTCTCTCTCTCTCTCTCTGTGTGTATATATATATACAAAACTGCATTGGCGCTGCGCGCCATGCACTTTGGTCCTTTGGAATTCGCACGCTAGCGGAGTGCGGGCGGGCGTACATGCGCACACACATGCGTTTATGAATGCATTTTTTATGTGTACATATATATATAAATATATATGCGTTTGTATGGATATATTCATGTATATGCAAATGGTCAGTGTAGCTATGTGTGCGCATACACATGCGTATATCAGGCGGTAATGGCCTGACCAGTTGCTCATGTCATCGCGCCACTAAAAGGCGCGAGGGTCCCAGGCAAACGTGGTCAGACTACCGTGGGACAGTGCGTCGCCGAGGTCAGTGTTGCGAGGACCTCCCGGGTGAAAATGGCCTGAACACCTCCGCTCAGGGGAGGGCATGTCCGAAGTCAGCCGCGCGAGGGAGTTTCACGCGAGGAGTGGTCTGAACACCTCTGCTCAGGGCATCCTTGAACTTAAACTTGCGAGAAGTCGCGCGCAAAAGTGGCCGTTCCACCACGGTGCAAGGCACCTCCGAAGTGAGACTTGCGAGAGCGTCTCAGGCGACAGCGGCTGGAACACCTCAACTGAGAGTGTCTCGGGCCCCAGAGCTGCGATGATGTCTCATGCGAAAACGGCGGGACCGATGCGAAGCAAAGCGCTTCTGAGGTCGGAGTTGCGAGCATATCTCTGGCGAAGCGGATTAGACAACTTTCCGTTATCTCCTCCTCCTCCCCCTTTTCCTTTCCTTTCCCCCTTCCCCTCCTCCTCCTCTTCCTGTTCCTCCTCCTAAATGAGGACGCAGCCGAAGTGGCTGCGGAAGGAATCATCACAACAGTGGCGGGGGAGCGAGGAATACTGGTTGTCCTACAAACTCGGCAAGCGGGAAGAGGAAATTGAAGAGGACGAGGGGAAGGAGGAGGAGGAGAAGGAGGGGGGGAGGAGGAGGAATAGGAGGAGGACGTTGCAAGTGTTCGCGCGGCCGTGAGTCCCCAGAGACTGCCCCCCGAGGATGCGTGCTGAAGCCGAAGGTTCCCGACGGCCTGATCTCCGAAATGTCACAACAACCCTGGTTCCCAACAGCGCGCCCGGATGAGATGGCGTCGTGACCCCGACGGTTTGTATTGAGCGCTGCGAGAAGCTCAGTCGAGGCGGGAGGAGGAACACGAAGAGGATGAGGAGAAGGAGGAGGAGGAAGAGGAGGAGGATGAAGAGGAGGAAGAGGATGAAGAGGACAGATTATGTGGATATCTGGGGTGCAGCCGAGGTGTCGCGGAAGAAATCCGCAGCAGAGACTTGGGAGGGTGAGGGGAGCTGCTTCTGCTGGACCTTTGGCGGGGCGGAACGTGAAACACCACGGGGAACTAGGAGAAGGAGGAGGAGGAGGTAGAGGAGGAAGACAATGAGGAAGAGGAGGAGGAGGAGGAGGAGCTTTTGGGTCCGTCGGT